AAAAAGGATTTGACTGTGATAGTGCTCAGGTACATTCTGTACAACACTAGTGTGAGCATTTCCCTCAGCCAGGCCTTCACCGACATCTGGTCGGAAGTATTATGTTGGAGGAAAAAAACAGACCAAGAAAAAAAAAAAAGAAGCAAAGATTGTCTCCAAGAATACGGGAGTTTAGGTCTGCACTCATGTAGAAGAACAACCTCAAGAAGGTAACAGCGAACATTAGACGTGGCCGAAGAATAGATGGGGTAGAACAAGCGGGGAGAAGCATAGACGACCGTGGCAGTTTTGCGATTGGTGGATTCTACCGTCTTCACCCGAATAGAACAGCCGGTCATTACAGCTGTATTGGGGGCAACATTCAGTCCAGATACTGAGACAATGACCGGGCGGGGCGTTGTATTCGGGCGAAGACGGTAGTCTGGGTCAAGTCAAAGGAATGCACACCTGAGGAGGGAATTTCTCAAAAAAGCTACTGCTGGCATACTTGGGTCCGCGGGAAGCCCCAGACGTAGTTGGTACTGAAGATAGTCCGTGGTACGTTATTCAACGTACCCCCTCACCTCCGGACATATCCCACGTTCCACGCTTCTAAGCTCTTACCATGCGTTGCTACCGTCTTCGCCCGAATAGAATGCCTGGTCATTATCGCTGTTTGTAGTCTGGAAATCGCACCAAATACAGCTATAATGACCGGGTGTTCTACTTAAGTGAAGATGGTAGTACGGAGTTCCCATCACATAGATCATGTAGTCTGGAAATCGTACCAAATACGGCTATAATGACCGGGCATTCTATTCGAATGAAAACAGTAGTACGGAGTTCCCCTCTCACAGATCAATGATACCACCCGGATATGGACCACGCGTATGGGTATATACAGCAATTGTACACGTGCTTCTTTTGGTACAGATGGTAGAGGGCGACCTCACAGGCAGGGCAGACCGCCATTTCTGGCTATACAGCGACAGTACACCCTACCATTTCTATCAATACATAATGCTGTCTGTTTCCTCACGAAAACGATGCCAATAGC